CGTGAATGTCTAGTGGCAGCGGGCCCTAACCACACAATCTTCAAAGCTGAACATGTGACAACTGATAAAGTGGACATTCAACATTTACCACTGAGAAAGACCCAACGATATAGAAAGAGGGAAAGGGTTATTCAACTGAACCCATCTGATGGTATGGCTCAGCCTTGCAGGCGTAGTCATTCTTGAGTAACTTATCACTTTTATTCATATTAAATATAGTGCTCTATCTTCAGCCTGAATTTGTTCTCCATCACATATTGGAAATTGTTACGATACGATGAATCAGTGTAGACAATAATATAACTTTTATGTAAGATCTTACAATTTAGGCAGTTACATCATGACAAATCACAAATTTAGGATTGGGTCTTCTATTAGAGCAGTACTATTAACGAAGTTGACCATAATTCTACACATTTGGTTTTTTGCATTTTGTTCTAATCGAGTTAGATTCTGCATAGGAAGATAATCATTTTGTTCTAACACTATTTCTCGAATTAAGCCAAATCGACCGTATTAATTACGAAACTAACAGAAGTCTCAATGTTTACTTTAAATTCGTCGATATTGATGGTGGTCACTATAAGTGTTACTCCACGATAATTTCTAATTTAACCGCTAGCTTGCATTGAACTTCAGTGTCAGAACAAGTATAAAAAGAATAATAACTTTTCATTGTCAAAAATGCCCTCTCTTGCGCAGGCACAGATCACAATTAACAAACGATCCACTAATTCTCGCAGGCAAGGTATGAGAATTTGTGGTTTGAAACATTTCAACATGCCGTCCACTCTAACAGTATGCGTTTGAACACGACGACTGAAATTGACAGGACCAACTTGAAAAGCTTTCTTTTTTCATTGTAAACATAGTATTTTCATATTTATTTAGAGCTGGCAACAAACAATCAGGTCGTCGCCTCCTATCCATGTCATGTTTTTCCTCATTTCTACTGCAGATGAGAATTCTACAGGGTCTTGATATTATTTATACGAATATTCGTCAATATTCGAATGAATAATTTGACATAAATTGGGCTCCGCGTATAGCGAAGAAAGTTTATACGAAAGTTATATATAAACTAATCTCAGCGATTGAAATGTATATAAATTCCAACGTTTCATCCGGCCAAGTTGTCTTTATTTCAGTGTAATAATCAGACTCATCAAAGGAATATATATACACTTTCAGCAATCAAATCAGATCAAATTTATGCTGTGCTTAATCCAACCGTGTTTGGATGTTGATTTTAGTAAATGGGATAACATAAGTTAGTTACATGGGAATCATGTGGAAATTTCACGTGGATATAATTGACTGAAACAAATTATATGTGTGTATGTGTGTGTAAGATTTAGTTATTAATTACTGATATTCTGTGTTAATATGTCTTACATGAATGAATAAATGAATAAAAGTCCAAGTTCAGTGTTGAAAACATTGTTTCTGAATCATCGAGGTGCATGTCAAATGAGAATAATCAGATGTATAATTGTATTGCTAAAAATAGCTCACATTGATTTCAGTCATATTACCGATACATATGAAATAAGCAGGTTGAACAAAGAACAAGCTCAATTACTTGCTAACGAATATTTGCCAAGTAGTTGCTAGTTGAATATCATCCTTTCGGTTAAGGCTGTTCTTATTTGCTCATATATACAGCGTTTCTGCTGTCAATCTTTCTTTATGAGTGTTAAAACCTTTCTGAAGTATTCTGGTCCCTTCAGAATCAATCTTGTGTTCTGTTTCCGACGCACGTAACGCCATCGCAGACTTATTCTCAAGTTTCTTTAGGTCAACCGAGGATTTTGGAACATTTTTCAAACAGTTTGTGTTCCTTCAAAATTACATTCAATTGCCTGGATGTTTCTCCCATATAAGTTGCAATACAATCACAACAGTTGATCTCATAGACAATATTTTGTTGTTTTTTCTTCAAGAACCCATCCTTGACTTTCGCTGATGCCGATCTAATGTTGTCATTCGCCCGAAAATACACTCTTATATCATGCTTGTTAAGAATCCGCTTGGTTTCACTACGGTATGGGATGACCACGGTGGACTTCCAATCTTTCTGTATACATCCTAGTTTAATTTTTCTTTCATTTGTAATGATCTTTAAAAGCTCTTTCGTGTAATTGTCAACCCTGAGTGTAGATAATACTCTATTCCATTCAACTTGTTGGTCTTCCTTATCTGTGACGACCTTAATACTTCTGTTCATTACATTTTTTATAACATTCACTCCCGTACACTGTGCATCAGCCGAACCGCAATGTAAGTATCTCTCAGAATGTGTTGATCTCCTGAATACATTTATTTTCAGACTATCAATATGTCTTCGTTCAACCAAACAATCGAGGAACGCTAGTTTGTGGTCAACGAATTTTACCTCCTTCGCTGACTTAATGCTTTCCGATATGCTGTTTACATTTTCAAACAATTCTTTCAGGCCATCACGTTTAGTGATAATACAAATATCATGTACATACCGTAACCAGGCCTTTGGTGGACATACACTTCTCGCGATTGCACTGGTTTCTAGGGAAGGCACGAATAAATAAGCTACAGTCGGAGGAACTGGTGAACCGATTGCCATAATTTCATTTTGTCTGTAAGGGTCTCCCCGAAATATGAATAAGGTGGATCTAAACATAATTTCAAACACTTGGTAACATGAGATGGATCTAATGGGCGACATAAATTCAAATCTGAATCAGATCCTAAACAATCAAAGATAATATCCAATGTTCTATTGACAGGTACATAAGTGAACAAGGAAGATACATCAAAACACTCCAATAGTTCATCCCCTTCTTTATCGATGGTATCGATAATATTCTTGAATTCCATAGTCCTTAATTCCATGATTAATCAGTTTTTCATAAGGCTTAAGTATTTTAGTTAATTATTTCGCTAGATTGTATGTCGGCGAATTCGCAAAGTCAACCACTGGTCTTTGTGGAGTACCGTACTTGTGATACTTAGGAAGTCTACAGAATTTACAAAGGTTACAACTCTTTGGATATCACACGAACCATAGCGGCAATCCTAGTTTAACTTTTAACGACTGTAAGATTTTACTGGTTTCAGTCCTAAGTTTATTAAGCGCTGTCAGACGTTTCGATAAAAGTTCAGACAAGTTAGTTGGACGAAACGTTGAAATTTTTTAAAATTTCAATCGCTGAGATTATTTCAAATATAATTTTCACATAAAATGTCTTGATATTATTGTCTTAAATTCTAACCCACTTATAGTACTTAAGAGATCTCACCTCACCATAGACTTATGAAATAAATTTCCTCGAGATGCTGGAATAAAAAAGCACCGGTACGTCTTAAATGTCCACCACGTGGTCTTATTACAGGAGATGAATGACTATCAAGTGTTTTTTTGGAACTCATCACGTTAAACCATAGATAGTCGAAATTCACTAGTTCAGTGATTAGAATCTATATTATGATGGCTTAGTTACTTGTTCCACTTATTGCTTAGTTGTCACATTGCCGTTCAAACATAAGCGCTTGAAATAATCATGAGTACTCCTTTGAAAGCATTTGTGAAGAAAAATGTCTTGTCCATCAAATTCGTGAGTTCTGGCTAGTCACTGAACGAGGTAAGCTCAACGTAATACTAAGTAGACTAGATATTTGCACTCTTCCAGTTAACAATATGATAGTACCAAGGCCAATATTACTTAGGTGGTGTGGTGTTTTTTTGCTTTTAAATAACAAGTGAACAGGCATACACAAGCATATGTGACATAGGTGCAGAATTATAAAGATACAAGAAGCATATGCACGAAAGGTCAAATTTTTCTATGGAAAAATAGAGTTATTAGAAAGTTAAAAATGACTCCATAGTCGTTTCCAGTCCAGGTTTAGGCTTAAAAGTAGGAAAAATCACACTGTGTAGTGATATTAAACCGTACAGTATAATGCGGACGTAGCAGATCATTGTACATTGTGGTGGACCAGATGATATATAAACGCAAAATGTATCAACAAAGTTAATAAAAATCAATAGTAATATTAATATATTCCAGTTAAATGTTACAAATACAATAAAAATAGGACTTTACTTTAGTTCACCCAAAATGATACGTGTTCAGCTTTAGTCTGGTACAATAAATCCACAATTATAGATGCTTGGTAATTCCAAACGTGTACACGAACTCTCCAGTGGTATAATCCAGAGTAAGGTATGGTGTATTCGCACTCACAGTCTATGTATGTAAATAATATTTGTTTTATAGCTCAGTTAACTCAATCACGAATGAAAATAGAACGAGGAATGTGTGAGAAGCAGTGTATTTGTTAGCCAGCAACGGTATGTCACGCTATGTCAGAATCACAACGGAAAATGTGTTCAAGGTCATTTACTAAAACAACAGTTGTATTCATTTACTGTTAAATATACATACAGTGAAAGGTTGACAAAATAAATATAAATAATATTAAAAACTATTTACAAAATAAACTTGTCAGTCATATCTCCACAACATACGTTCGTCGCGTTCATGTTTGGTTTTTTCTCACATAACACTAGTAGCAGACCACTTCAAATTAAAAATGTCTCATCGAAACAGATCCTCTCTTTATTCCATATTTGATAGCCATACTTGCACAAAGAAAGGTAGGTTGTATATGGTTGTGATATAAAATGCTGCATGACCAGGTTACTGAACCTGTTGGTCGTCAGACTAGGTAGACTAACTGTTCATAATGCTTACTATTGAAAGTAAAGAGTAGGATGGACACGTCAATATCTGCTAATTTGTCATAAACATCACGTTCATGTCAAGAACCAGTTTCAATTTGGAAGGGACGGGAGGCTAGATGGCTTGTGCTAGTCCTGACTGGATAATCTTATGTGATTCGATATAACTATTCTGGGATTAAAAGTTTACAGGTCAGACGTAAGTTCACTAATGAATTAACTACCACATTACTCGTACCACTTTTTCTCTTCAAATTGTACAAACGTAGTCATGACAATGACGCGTCAAGGTTGCGAGCGTGAACCAAAGTTTCGAGATTTAAAACACACTGAAGGAAAAGTCATATTATCCTGTCCAAGCACATCTAATGGATCCCCATCTTGTGGTTTATCATATTCTGCAGATAATCTTTGTGATGAAATCACTTCAGAAATATCTGTTCGAAAATTCATCAATGGTCTAAAGAAAATGGAGAACGATGAAAGCGAATTAAATTTTAAAACTGTGCTGAGTCAACGAAGGCCTACTTTAACTAACGATCCAACACTACTGTCCTCACTTCTGAAAAAGAATGAGGCTTTGTTAAAAGAAAATACCGAGTATGTAGGTCTCAAGAATTTACGTACATATATTAAGTTAATGTTACCTTATTTTTGTCAACAGTATATTTGGTTATTACGAGAAATTTTCAAACACTTGAGCTTTTTTACCTATTTCAATCATCACAACTTTTATCACATCTTGTTTCGAACTTTTTTCAGTCAGACTACTCAGCTAGGTCGTCCGAGTTGACCTGTATTACTGATATTACAACATTATTTTGCGAGGTTTTTCATACTTTAAAATCATCTACCACCATATGAAGAGCTGATGTGACAATCGACAACAGTTTATTTATACACCTTACGAAACAATTAAGACCTGAATTTTAAAACATCAAATCTCTGACCTCTACAGATGCCCATAATATACGCAAATTTTCACAATCCTACTTCCTACTCCACGTATTTATTCAGTGTATCATTATGATTATTGGCCATTCTCCATACTTGTCACCCCACAGTTACTTCAGTCCTCAGTAATAAGGATAGGTCTATCGACCCATATTAATCCTTGCAGTTTGTGACTCTGTGCAGTTCCAATATCGTTTTAAATATATTAACAGAAGGTTCTGATATTAAGTGTTTTGGTAGAAAATTCTAGTAACTCGCTACTTGGTGCAAAAAATGAAACTCTAGGCGTTGACGATCTGACCTCGGTTTCTGAACTTTCTTCGAATGTTCTCTCAAATGATCAGTCCTAGACGGAAGGAAAAGATAAGACATATTAATACCAAAGTCATCGTTCAGTATACGATAAGCCAATATCAGATCACCCCGTGCCCTACGGCAAGATAAAAGAAATATTTTGGGGTGTCTCAGTCTGTTTTCATGCGACAGGCCAGATAGACCTTTTGCCATCTTAGTCCTTCGTCGTTGGACTCTTTCCAGCATATCTGCATCATACTTAAAACAAGGACTTGCTACTTGAATCCCATATTCTAAATGTGGTTGCATGAAAGTCGGGTATAGTAATCTAACCATTTCATCATCCAAATACTGGAAAGACCTACGAATAGACCATAATACCCTATAGCCTTTTGCAGCCTCAGCCTTACAGTGACTAGTGGTTTTGAAATCACTGCTTAGTCTGACTTCTGAAACTTTATATTCTCTTAATTTGGTAGCACGAATCCACATATTGTGTGGTGATACGAATCATCATAGTTATTTAATTGCGTCACCATGCTCTTGTTAGAATTTACTTCTAATGACCATCTGTCCGTCCATGCCACCAATGATCTTAGATCACCATGTAATACTACTTTATCTGACATACTGTGTATGGGTATCTAAATCTTTATGTCATCGGCGAAGAGTAGAACAGATGATTTTGTTACAGTCGGTAATTCATTTACATAAAGTAAAAAGAGAAGAGAACCGAGTGGAACTCCACGTTTTACAGGTTCCCACGAGAAGAGGGCTCCATTTTTCTTTGCCCTTCACTTCCTGTCATGGAGAAAATCACTCCTCCAATCTATGACTGTTTCATACACATAGTTTCTTTTGTCATTTCGAAAAGAGCAAGAACAAACATTCTAGCAGAATAGCATGAATTAATTTTATTTCGTTGGCTCTCGTCAGCTGCCTACGACCTGTAATATTTATAATAATAATTACATATTGTGTTTAAATTACTTACATGAGAGGGTTTGCTTGGAAGTTATATTGAAGACATATTAGTATAGTATAGCAAGGGTGTAAATAAATTTGATAGACTAAATATTGCAAATATATACTTTGTGTAAAGGAGCATTTTACAACACTGATTGTGACAACAGTTCAAACAGCTAGAAAAAAGTGATTATATAATGCGAAAACATTGATAGGAGTAAAATGAGCAGAGTTCAGCTGATAAAATAAGATTATTTATTTGGAAGGTAGTTGAAATAAAACTCGATGATGTAATAAATGCAAGAAAAAGTTTAAAGAAAAAAATATATATTAAGATACTTACTTACGCCTGTTACTCCTCGTGAAGGAGCATAGGCCGCTCACCAGCATTCTCCATCCAACCCTGTCCTGGGCAATCCTTTCTAGCTCCGTCCAGTTGTAATTCATCCTTTTCATATCTGCTTCTATTATCCGACGCAATGTGTTTTTTGGCCTTCCTCTTTTTCGCTTCCCTTTAGGATTCCAAGTTAGGGCTTGCCTCGTGATACAGTTTGACGATTTGCGTAATGTATGTCCTATCCATTTCCATCGTCTTCTTCTAATTTCTTCTTCAGCTATAGTTTTCACATTTGCTCAGATCTCCTTTCTTTGGAATCTTGACGAGGTGTCCTTCTTTCCAGTCCATCGGCACTTGTTCCTCCTCCCAAATCTTTTTGAATAGAAGATAAAGCATGCTTGTGGTTGTTTCGATGTCTGATTTCAGTGCTTCAGCTGGTATGTTGTCGGGTCCTGCTGCTTTCCCGTTCTTGATTTGTCTGACGGCCATTCTAATTTCTTCCGTAGTTGGTGGATTGACATCTATAGGAAGATCTATGTGTGCTGCTTCGATGCCCACTGGATTCATTGGAGCCGGCCTATTCAGGAGTTCCTCGAAGTATTCTACCCATCTGTTACGCTGTTGTTGAATTTCGGTGATTGGCTTGCCTTCTTTGTCTTTGACCGGCCTCTCTGGTTTACTGTATTTCCCTGCTAGTTTCTTCGTTGTATCATATAGTTGTTTCATATTTCCTTCTCTTGCAGCTTTTCCCCCGGCGTTGCTAGTTCTTCCACGTATTTCTTCTTGTCAGCTCTAATGCTCCTCTTCACTTGTTTGTTTGCTTCTATGTATTCAGCTTGTGCTTGGACTTTTTCTGTTCGTGTTCCGCTGTTGTTTATTGCTGCCTTCTTGTTCTTCCTTTCTTTGATCTTGTCCAGTGTTTCTGTAGAGATCCATTCCTTATGATGGTATTTCTTTAGACCCAGAACCTCTTGACACGTTGAAGTTAATGCTTCTTTGATGCTTTTCGAGTTGTCCTCCATAGTAGTTTCTTCTTCTTTCAGTAGATCTTGTAAGGCTTGGAACCTGTTGTTGAGAGCTATCTTGAATTCATTGAGTTTGACAGTATCTCGAAGGAAGGCTGTATTGAACCTTTGTATTGCTGTTTGTCCACTTGTCCAGTTCTTTTTTAGCTTCAGTTTTAAATTGGCTACAACTAGGTGGTGATCTAAAGCTACGTCAGCACCTCTCCTGGTTCTCACATCTTCCATTGTCCTTCGGAATTTTTTGTTAATGCAAATATGATCTATTTGGTTCTCTGTAGTGTGGTCCGGTGAGATCCATGTAGCCTTGTGTATACGCTTGTGTGGAAATATTGTGCCTCCTATGACCAATTTGTTGAATGCACATAGATTTGCAAATCTTCCTCCATTTTCGTTTCTTTCTACCAGTCCATGTCGTCCCATAATATCTTCATATCCAGTGTTGTCTATTCCGACTTTGGCATTTAGATCTCCCATCAGAATAGTTAGGTCCTTTCTTGGGCATTTCTCAATGATTGACTGTAGCCGCTCGTAGAACTGATCTTTAATTTCGTCGTTGCTATCATTGGTGGGTGCATAACATTGGATAATATTCATTAAGACCCCCTTCTTCTTTGTCTTGAATGATGCTTTGATGATTCTGGATCCGTGAGATTCCCATCGTATAAGTGCATTTCGTGCTACTTTGGACAGCATAAGAGCGACTCCCTGAGTGTGTGGAGCATTGTCCTCTTCGTGACCGGAGTATAGCAGCATCTCTCCCGTAGCTAGCTTTTTCTGTCCAGCTTGGGTCCAGTGGGTTTCGCTGATTCCCAGTACTGCTAAGTTGTATCTCCTCATTTCCATTGATATTTGACTGGTCATCCCGGTTTCCCACATTGTTCGAACGTTCCATGTACCTATAAAACTTTTTGCTCTGGTTGTTAGAAGGGGCATCGGCCTCGTGGCTTCCGAAGGAACTCGGCTTTCACCATGAAGCGTCATAATTCTTCTAAATGAAGACCTTCTAACTCCCAGGGCAGAGTTAAAATGGTTTGGATTATTTTTTCTGGTGAGCGTTTTTTTAGCGAGTTAGTTTTCTACGGGATGGGGACGCTAACCCCATGCCCAATCCTCCTCCTTTACCCGGGCTTGGGACCGGCAGCAACCCTATAAGAGCTACAGGCGGAGTTATATTAAGATACAGCGAAGGAATATTAGTCACCAAGGCAAGAAAAGATTATTAAACATCTCCTTTTGAACACATAAATCAGTTTTTTTGGCGTCTGATAGCCACGACTTCAGCAAACTTTAGAATACTAGAGTTTGGTTGCTTACTAATCACCTTAAATTATTGCAAGGTATCGACTTGACGTCCTATATCAAGGAGATGTTTGGGGATTGCACTGTTTAGAGTCTTTTTTCTCTTGTTCTGAGGCTTTTTGGAACATGTTCAAAAAATCTAAGATATGCCCTCCTTTCTGTTTGGCTAATGTAACTGCTTTGGCAGGTACACATAAATTTATAAATACAGTTGTCGGTAACATGAAAGGGATGCTTGTCAACCTTTGATTGAGTTACTGAACATGTTGTTTTATACAGAATTAGAAGTTTGGCCTCCGGATAAGTTCTGGCTAGCGCAGTTTTCAGTCTCCTGTTGATTGTGTTTGCAACATCATCATCTTTGAAGTTAAGATTTATAGTTATTGGTTTTTTATTGACTGTTTAATGGATTCCAAAACTTTGCAGTTTTAATTTAAGACCAGAATGTGAGACCTTATCAATGGCTTTACTCAGATCTATGAAAATCACATCTACAGGAATATTTCGGTCTTTTGCCGCAGCCCAGTCTTCTCTTGCAATGAGATTTGCCAAACATGATAGGCCTCTCCAAAAACCATGTTGTTCTTTGGGTAAAAGATTATGCCCTTCAACATTGTTTATAACAGATATCCGAATAACTTTTTCCATCAGTTTTACAACTGCACTAGTTAAGCTAACGGGTCTATAATTATTAACTAAATCCCTACTTCCAGCCTTATACACCGGACCTACTATCGCGTCTTTCCAGTCTTTGGGGATTCTGGATTGCCCCAGAGACATTACATCTGATATGGCTTTCATAATCCTAGGATGAATATCATCAGGACCACTGGACTTATCAGGTTTCAGATGCTGAAGTAGCCTTAAGACAGTACCTTTCTCAATGACTACAGGGTCTATCAACGAGCCACTACAATCACAATGAATCGTTGGTCGTCCTTCACTACCGATAGAAAACACTTTAATGAAATATTCCGATAAAGCCTTGGCTTTTTCGGTATCGTTTCTTGTCAAGAGTAACTAATTTCCTTTTATCAGAAGTGATAGAACTCCATTGCTTGTCTGAGTTCGCCTTTTTATATACGAGAATAATCGTTTCGGACTATATCTACAATCTCAACCAAACTGTTTTTTATATGATCGTCTAGTCTCACTTATTAATGCTTTACAAGTATTGCTAGTCTTATGATGGCTGGATCTGTACTGTTCTAAGCTAGTAGAGATGAACATATTCAAGTGCTTTTACCTTCTTCTAAGTAGTTTCTTGACTTGTTTAGTTATTCATGGTGGACAGTCGTTCGTTCTATGTGGAACCGGGCATGGTATAAACGAGAATGTAATTGAACTAAACTTGCCTTAAGATATGGACCATGCTCCTCTAACTGATAAGCTAGTATATACTGACCAATCTGTCTCAGCAGGTCACTCCTGAATGGCTTTCCATACATTTGGGCGGGGTGTAACTTGATCGTATATCATGTCCCTTGTTCTAAACGTGAATTACAAAACAGTGTGATCGCTGTTCATTAACGGTGGAAGAATATTTAGATCGACAATATCCTCAGTCTCATGAGTGACTACTAAGTCTAACAGAGAAGAACCTTGGTTGGCACCAAAACGTGTGGGTTCTCATACATGATCCATTATTGTTACCAGGAACCTACTATCAAAGGTGTTTATAGATCCTTCCGTGGTCATCTCAGTCCAACTAATATCAGGTGAATTAAAGTCTCCTAATATCAAGCATTTGTTTTTTGCACTCCATAGCCAAATATGCTCTAAAATAAAGTCATCAGCTAAGCAGATTGGGCTGTGATAGATGACACTAAGTATAAAGTTACCGCACCCGATAGTCAGCTCACAGCCAGTGACTTCACAAGTCCCACTATCATGGGATTCGCTAGCAGAGGAGCGGACATTTATATTATTAGCTATGTATAAAAGGACATCACCTTTTTTCCTTCATCTTCTTTTCTATCACTTCTCAGGTAGTGGTATCCAGATAATTCTAGAGTAATGTCGAAATTCTGGACTAATCAAGTTTCTGTCACAGCTACAATGCGATTTGCGTATTTTTATCATGATTGGTTTTTATTTGTTATGAATAGTTGCGTGACCCACGTCTTTGTTGTTATTTGCTCGTGATTGGTTTACTTCTCACATATTTGCATATAAATACTAAATATTGGAGTAAAAATTGATATTTCGTTTGAATTAAAAGGCTGTGAACATCCTAAGTAATAGTCAAACGTTTTACGGTTTCCTTAGTTTCATTAAGGTATCAGTTCAAGGAATTCAATGTTTTTTGATGTAACGAATTTTTACCAACCGACAGCAAATAAACGAGAAATTTTGTGTGCCTGTGATTCTGTTTAGTTATTCATATTGCTCATTTAATCTAAATGGTCTTATGTTGAACAAATCAGGTGCCAGAATAATATACACGTATATAGTCGCAATGTTTTCACTCTTGTTTCTTGGGGCCCCAAGAAGTGTCTAAAAATGCTGAAGTGAGTAAACCCTAGATGATATAATTGGAGGACTTTAGGGGGAAACCTTTTGTGAGAACCTGGATCTCAATATTTCATTCGGCATACATGTGATTTTATTCATAATTTGGAAATCTGTCACAATATTTTTTATAGAAATCAGTGATTGAAAGACAAACTTTACAAATCGAACTACTGGAAAGTAAACTCAAAATACTCCATGCTGACGAGAGAAAAAATAATATTGAAGAAACCGATCAGAAAACTATAGAAAGACTGCAGAAATATTGCGAAGAGTTACAAGGACAAGTAGGCAATGAAATGAATGAATACATATATTATTTCAATTCATAGATTCTTGAAATGAAGGAATTTTTTCATGACCATGGTCTCATGTGGATAGGAAGACAATCAACTGGCCATGTAATCAGTACAAGAAATGAAACTGGTCTAAGTAGGCTTTGTTTATAAATCTAATGACAATAATATTGCTATTTGTTTATCAATAATAAGAATTCAACGAAACAACCTTCAGTCGCTTAGTTCAACAGATTTATTTATTAAATGATTGGAACAACGACGCGCACAATGAGAAAAAATTTATTTCAGAATCCAATTCATCTAATATAGTTTGCCTACAAAATCAATCACCGATTCCACTAACTCTATACGCAGATGGATTATGCTTTAATTCTGGACCATTTCGTCCTTATAAAAATCATGATACGCTACAATTCGTCCAAGTAATCCTACTTTGTCACTTTTCAGTAAAATTATTTCATGCTAAACGTTGATTACTGTAAATTATAATGACACAACTAACTGGTAAAATGATAGACAGAATAAGATAACCAAACTGATGATTTAGTAATTATAGCCGACGAGATCTCAAAGGATAGAACTACTAATAAGCATACTAAAACTATTTTTATCAGAGAGTTAAATCTGTTATATATACACAAATTATTTGCCCGAAATAGTATAACGGTACGTTACTTGTCAAATAAATGGTAAACAATCAACGTTAAACTGAGGATTACAAGGCAGCCGATTATGCTACACTTAAGACTCTAGAATTATTTTATCTAATGACATATTTAGACGTGATTAATAGGAACAGACAAAGTTTCACTAAGAAATAATAAAGAGTAAAAAAACTACGACTCGTCTCAGGGTTACATCCACGTTGTTTATTAGACGTACTTGAAACGAGGAACCACTACAATTCCCACAACGCAAAGTAAGAACACAAAGAGTGGTGCAAGTGAAGTTTTATTAACCCCAAGAACATGACAACGACTCTAGTTCAGAATGCACTCATTTATATAATGATTTGTAAACACATTTTACTATTAATTAGTAAGAAGTCACATATACGAAATTATAGCAAGAGTGCACGTCGCATGCTATACTGAACATAGATTACATTAATCTAATACGGTATTATCTTTCTTGAATAAACATTACACTAAAGTAAATCAACGTTATGCTGAATAAAATAGCACACTAAAAGCATAAAAAAATATTATACTGAATGGTCCCCATGCTGAATTAAAAATAGAAGTAATGTTCGGCAAGAGCCACAAGTTAAAAATGTGATTTTGCCTTTTTATCCCACCATAGATAGATGACCGTTACTAGTTTGAAACTTTTTATAGTAAATATCTCTGATTCTCTTTATCCTATAAAATCACAAATTACTTTACTCCTTAGAAAGCAGTAAGATTAAGGTGTTTAAGTGAAATAAAGCGATTACAGTTCTATGAATTAATTTAATGAATGATACAGATTAACTGCACTTTCAACATCATAAGCTATTGTTCCTGTTTACTTTTGATTTGGAATTTTCCAGATATCACTGTATCTGAGTAAAAGTAAATCATTCATGGAAGACTATCTGACTATCTGACTTACCTTATTAAATGGTCTAAAACTCTCAAACAACTGGAATCTATAACAATGAAAAATTCCGAGAAAAAAATAACTTCTCTTTTATAAAAACATTTCGAACCAACTTCCTGAGTAATTTACATATAAAAAGTTATAACTCTATAAACTTCAACAATAAATCAATTAAGTTGGTTGTTAACTTGGTAACTTATTTTTATGCTCAATAAAGTTGTTTCATCATTTATACTCTTTTATGCATAACTGATCTTAAGATTTGGTAAATAATTTTAATGTTACTAGTGAATATAGTTTAAATCTCTTGAAGCTAGTGTTTCATGGTCCTACTCTGTACCACTTACCAATAATTGTTTAAAAAAATAAAACTGTGAGTGATACGAATAATTTTGAAAGCAGACACCAAATAACAAAATGTTATGCTGACAGAAGAAAGTTGAAGGGAATAGTATGACGACATGTTAATCAAGTTGTTTTGATTAACTTCGGTACAACCAAAACCAGCCACTGGTTTTTCATAACGTTTTAAAGCATCTGTTTTATTATTGACTGAAATAAAAATAGTTCTCACCTATAGACTACCATCAGATAGAGAATTACTGAAAGCTGTAGTGTACTAGGCATCTGTTTTATCCTCGCTTTGTAACCCTCAACGGTATCGTTCTATTATTTTTCGCAGAGTTGATCCCACTATCTTTGCGTACGATTTCCTTAGAGCACTAGGTCACAGTTTAAAAATCGAGTCATAATTTTGATGATTTGGCCAAGACATGGATGGAAAGTACTGAAGAGTCTTTGGTGATGAAGAAACAACTGTTTAATTCTCTTATGTTTTCAACGGCTCTCCAGCTGAAACATCAGTTCATGACGAGAAATTCCTTCAAATTATGATAGTTTCCATTCTGAATCTAAGTATACCATGTTCTTCTAATTTTTTAGGATATACTGGACGGTTACTTTCCATCAGAATTACAATCTTCTTATCCAAATGGGGTTCAATTCAAACTAATCGATAAACACACAACTCATTTTATGTTATTAAAAAAACCAACATCATTTTCAGCCTGTGGTTATAAACTCGGGAGTTCTTTAACAAATGAACAAGATGTAGGTCAGGAAGTTTCCTTCAGTAATGAGAAACACATACCAAACAATGATAAAAACGAAGAACTCAGTATTGGACAGTAAGAAATAATTAAAAATGACTTGATATTTCTGAGTGTTGGAGTTGTTTTCTCTGAATGACCTGATTAATGTTCATAATTTCTAGTAAGCTGACTCACTACTAAAAACTAAAAACTACAAAGAGAGTACATTCAGACATGCTTTTGGTCAAAGATTTTAACTTGGAAAATATTGTGAAGAAACCGTAAGTACGAATGTATCACTACAGTAAGACTGATCTTTCAAGTAACATTTTCTTCTGGTGTCTAGTGTAACATCATTTGAAGCTTAATAAATAACAGTTCGGCAGTCAAACATAAGTTTGTTTGCTAGTATTAAAGCCGTATTTAGTGTGTGACAGCTGGGGATACTATTTGTCTAACTGGACTGAATTCAACTGACACCCGAACTAGCTGATGTACAACATTTTTTTAATTACAGAGTACATCTCCATTTAAGCAGAAAACGATGTACATCAAAGTGTTCAGAAAATTCTCGTCTCAAGACGGTAGAAGTGCTACTAAAAGTAACCCAGTAGCCGAATGTATTCATAGTTTTTTTTGGAAACGGAAATATCCAGATCCCAGTACATGATTTATTTACAACTAATAACAGTCATAAATAAAGTAGCCTAAGGTGTATAAGACATACTACTGTATGAACAGACATTTTTTGAATAAACAATTCGATTGTTGATGTCGTGAAATTTTGTCTTGTGAAATGGCTAATATATTTTTGACGCATTCTCAGACAATACGTACTTCAGCATACTATTAATAGTTAATGGAGGAGAAGATAAACTATAGACTAACAGATCAAAACATTGCAATCATCTTTAAATACTGAACTGAGTTGTGTAAAAAATGTAAACTTTCTGGTTGTCTTTTTGACACAACCATAATACTATAAGAAGAGATGGTTTGCGGCTAGCAGTGGAATCCAGGACCCGCGTTTTGTCCTATTTAGGACTCGTCAGCTGGGCCTATCTGCATCTCAGAGTTGATTTTCACGAGCATCCTAGATTCTACTGTTAGCCACCAACTATCTTTGCTTATATTGCTTGTGAATTAGGTCAACGTCTAGGCAATCCTCACAGGATGCACATATGCTCATAAGAGACTGATCAACTGACGTCCTAAACATCAATGGGAAGATTCAAGCAAACAATACCGAATGAATTTAAACATAATACTGTTTGAGATCTTAAGTTAAATGGGTCATAACCATAAATATATATACTACATATCTGCAAATTAAACTGTTTTGTAACTCATTTTCTATATAATTTATACGTTCCATTTTAGAATTGAAAATCAAATGAAAGCAGAATGTAATGCCACATCCAATAAACTAACTTCAAACACATTAAGTACTAATGGGCGAAATAAATCTTTAACTTTTGATGAATTGCTAAAACGTTTACCGGAGTATAAATTAACAAAATCTGGTCAGCTGTTAAATATTAGAAAAGACATAAAAAGTGAATTTGGTGAACAAATTAATGTTCCGTCAACTAGAATAATTAAAACTGATTACATATTTAAAAATAACACAATAGACAAGAATCAATTAAAATCAGAACTTATAACATTAAGGATTTATTCGGAAAATGGTTTGCAAATTTACAATGTTGAAATGCATCCAGAAGATACAATAGGAGAGTTATATGAAACGTTAGATCATGCTAGATCGAAAACATTATCAAAAACCAACAGAAATTATCGTCTTGTAGCTATGTCTTTACTAAACACTATTGAAAATCCCAATGAACTATGCAATCACCAAATGTTAGTTGATCTTTCTGCAACATTGGTTGCGTGTGGCATAGTAGATCGTACGACGCTTCGTATGGAACTAATTCCACAAGAATTGACGAAAAATCAATTACAGTTTGATGTTAATAATGCTTTATCAGCTAAACGGCTAAACTTATGGAGTCAAAACGAATCAATAACACCAAATGGTACATTGAAGTAACCTCTTTAATGAATTGCTAAAACCATCAGAACTGGGTTGAACATTGGATATTTGTCACAACTTTTACAACTAGAGAAAGCACAAATATTTTAGTTTAACATTTTTATGTTGAATAAAATAATCGTATCAGAATTCATTGTTTTATTTTTGTTGATACTTTATTATGTTTGAATTTTGTTTGTATAAAGAGGAATTAGTCAACTGCTCCATTGAGGAATTTGAGTATTTGTTTTAAAAGTAATATGAATAAATTGAAGGGTTATGTTATGAATATTATATAAAAGGTCGACTAAAATGTGAGGAACTCTTTTGGTAATTGACTGAACACTGTAAGGTTCACATCTTTATAAACCGATTGCAATCTTATTAACGATGATTAGTATCTGTATTGAAAAATAATGTTTAATATTTCAGCATCTGAAATAATATGTGAAAGGTGTCCCAGTCTACGAATCCTTTATAGTAGTCTTTACTCAGTCAATGATCTCTTATATTACTCCTAGTAAAAGTTAGAAATCCTGAGCACTTCAAAATCAAATGAACACTCGAAAAGTAATTAAGTTCTAAGGTATCAAACTCATCGAAACACAGCATCGATAAACAAGAAAGACCTGATGCAGATGTAAAGTCGAGGATTGGCAAAGCAAGGGCTGCATTCCTACAATTGAAGAACATATGGAACTCAAGACAACTGTCTGCCAACATCAAATTGAGAATCCTCAATACGAACTTCAATGCAGTTCTATTGCACGAAGTTCAAACTTGAAGAACTAATTCAATTAACATCAAAAATGTACGGGTATATATATATATATAGTTGTTTACGCAAGATGCTCAATCTCCGTTGATCGGATACTCTCATAAACAACCTACTACGGCAGAGAACAAATCAGCTTCCATCTAAAGAGGAAATTATGAATAGATGCTGGAGATGGATAGGACATATATTGCAGAGATTATCAAACTGCATCACGAGGCAAGCCATAACTTGGAATCAATTGGAGAGGAAAGGAGGAAGACCAAGAAATACACTGAGTTGGGAGTTGGAGACAGACATCAGAAGAATGAATAGCGGTCAGGAACAACTGTAAAGGATTGCCCAGGACAGGATTGGATGGAGAGTGCTGGAGGGAGGCCTATGCTCCTCCACGAGAAGTAACAGACGTAAGTAAGTACTTACTTCCGTTACGCTGCATGGAGAATAGGCCACCAACCAGGATTCTTCAACCAACTCTGTCCTGGGCAATCCTTTACAGTTGTTCCTGACCGCTATTCATTCTTCTGATGTCTGTCTCCAACTCCCAACTCAGTGTATTTCTTGGTCTTCCTCCTTTCCTCTCCAATTGATTCCAAGTTATGGCTTGCCTCGTGATGCAGTTTGATAATCTCTGCAATATATATCCTATCCATCTCCAGCATCTATTCATAATTTCCTCTTTAGATGGAAGCTGATTTGTTCTCTGCCATAGTAGGTTGTGGCTGAGAGTATCCGATCAACGGAGATTGAGCATCTTGCGTAAACAACTATATATATATACCCGTACATTTTTGATGTTAATTGAATTAGTTCTTCAAGTTTGAACTTCGTGCAATAGAACTGCATTGAAGTTCGTATTGAGGATTCTCAATTTGATGTTGGCAGACAGTTGTCTTGAGTTCCATATGTTCTTCAATTGTAGGAATGCAGCCCTTGCTTTGCCAATCCTCGACTTTACATCTGCATCAGGTCTTTCTTGTTTATCGATGATGCTTCCCGGGTACATGAAATATTCCTTATCTTTCAGAGTTTCTCCATCAAGTGTGATTGGGTTGGTGTTCTTCGTGTTCTATTAAAAGTTCTCATTTTTTCACTTATGTATGTTGAGGCCTACTGATGCAGAAGCTGCTGTTACACTAATTGACTTCATCTGTATTTGTTTGTGTGTAAAGGATAGGAGGGCCAGGTCATCTACGAAGTCCGAATCGTTTGGTTGATTCAGAGTTATCCATTGTATTCTGTGCTTTCCCTCAGATATCGAGGTCTTCATAATCCAGTCGACCACCAGAAGAAAAAAAAGGGAGAGAATAAGCAGCCTTGTCTTGCATCAGTCCTCACATGAAATGCGTCTGTCTCCTGTCCTCCATGCACCACTTTGCAATGTAGTTCGTCGTATGAATTCCGGATGATTTTGACGATCTCAGGTAAACCACTGTCGAAGAAGTTTCCATAAGGTCCTCCTATGCACACTGCCAAGTGCCTTCTCATAGTCAATGAAGTTGATATATAGTGACGAATTCCACTCTACTGATTGTCCAACGATGAGCTGTAGTGAAGCGGCTCGGTCTGTGCACGATCGATCCTTATGGGATCCAGCCTGTTGATCTCGAAGTTGGGCGTATACTGAATCTTTCATCCGGTTCAGCAACGCTCTGTTGAAAACTTTCCCTGGTATTGGCAGTAGTGTGATGCCTCTGTAGTTCTCATATTTACTCAGATTCCATTTCTTTGGTATCTTGGTGAGTTATCCTTCTTCCCAGTCTGTCGGCACTTGTTATTCCTCCCGAATCTTCCTGAGTAGAACGCGCAGCACGTTTGCAACTACTTCTACTTCTGCCTTTAGAGCTTCAGCTGGTATATTGTCAGGTCCTGCTGCTTTCCCACTTTTGGTTTGTCTGGTGGTCACCCTGATTCCTTCTGTCGTTAATGGAGTGACAGCTGTACGAAGTCTGTAGGTGGTGCTTCGATGTCCGGTGGATTCCATGGGGATGGTCTATTCAAGAGTCCTTCGAAGTGTTCCACCTATCTGTTCCTCCGTTTTTGATTATGAGTGGTTATCTTGCCTTCTTTGTCTTTGGCCGGTCTCTCTGGTTTACTATATTTCCCTGCTAGTTTCTTCGTTGTATCATATAGTTGTTTCATATTTCCTTCTCTTGCAGCTTTTCCCCCGGCGTTGCTAGTTCTTCTACGTATTTTTGCTTGTCGGTTCTAATGCTCTTCTTCACTTGCTTGTTTGCTTCCGTGTACTCAGCTTGTGCCTTGGCTTTCTCTGCTCGTGTTCCGCTGTTGTTAATTGCTGTCTTCTCGTTCTTCGTTTCTTGAATCATGTTTAGGTTTTCCATAGAGATCCATTCCTTATGATGATGCTTGTTGCGGCCCAGCGCCTCCTGACACGTTGAAGTTAATGCTTTTTTGACCCCTTCCCGCATAGAAGTTTCTTCTTCTTTCAGTAGATCCTGTAAGTCTTGGAACATGTTGTTGAGAGTTATCTTGAATTGGTTGAGTTTGTTAGTATCTCATAGGAAGGTTGTATTGAACATTTGTACTGCTGTTTTCCCAGCTATCTAGTGTTTCTTTAATTTCATTTTCATCTTGGTCAAAAGTAAACAAGTATCAAACTCATTCTCTGAGGCACAAAAGTAATTCAAGTCAACTGGGATTTATAATTACTTCATTGAATTATATTACAGTAATCTAGCCTTTTTTATCTTTTGATATAAAAGTTCTTTCGATCTTGTTTATAACTTACATCGAACGTGCACACGTCCATCACCTGTGTAAGTGACACAACTAATAATTTCCTTGTTTATCTTGTGGTATAACTATCATACTGATTATTTTTCACTAATAATAAGCTCACTTGTACATTTGTTGATAATGAAGGAGACAAAATGGAAGCTGTATGGACACGAGAAAATATACGTTCATTACAAAATTTACTTAGGGATCCCGAGTTGGAAGATAATAGTGATCAGGATGACGTGAGTTATAAATTTTTCCCCTTTAATCTTTTAAATTAATTGGACTGTTATACTAAAATTATTCTATTCATGAGTCCTTTTATTCGTGGTAATCTAAATTCATTACTGAAAATGTAACCATGTAGTTTTATTTGAATCGATAAAAACCGATGGTTGATTTATTTTTTTTCAGTCTACTTATTAATAACGTGGCGATGATCCATCTAAACTGTTTTAGATTGGTGAGAATTTTACTCACTTAGTTAAACGACCTTCTATCTTCGGCTGTGTGAAAGGATAACCAGATAGTAGTTTTTTGTCAATGAACAAATCAAGTCTAATATATATGCTTATTAGAGTACTCATATTCCCACGTTTACTTCCTTTATTCAGAAGTAAATTGTCCTACTAACTAAAGCAAATATCGACTTGTCTTAACTGAAAACGATCTCATTTGGTAGATACAAATCATGTTTAGTATCCTCCATTAGTTAAGTGAATAGAATTTTCGATCTTGAGGGTTATCTCTGTTTAGTTGTTCATACTTTTACCCTGATAATTAAGCAACAATTAAATTAGAATAAAGACTGCTACTCTTTCTTTATTTTAATGGATGGTGTAAGGTAGTGACTTGCTGCTTGAAACACTTGTGTTTCAATCATTGCGTTGAAGATTCAAACTCGGCTCCATTTCGGTTTCAGAAGTTCCTACATGGAAGATGTGGCACAAATCCCCGAGTAAAGTAACTTGTACTCGGTTTCTAGGTTGCACACACCTTCGAACGTCCTAGTGTATTGACTAGAAGGAAATTTCACACTTTGAAATTACTGTCATACGACCGCGTGTTTATAGTCCCTTCTGAGAAAATACCACTCACTGTTTCTACTTGGCGTGGGTATGTGCATAGATTAAAAGAGATAAAATAAACTCTGAGGACATTGAATAGGTTGGTCTATACAGAGGATTTTGGTGGAAATCTTTTGAAGCCCATGTTTCTGTCAGTAATTGATATAAACTACAATGTCCTGAGCTGATCAATGGTGTATGAACTTACTTTATACACCAGACACAGTGTGGGCCTCTGCCTCACTGAATTATGGATTCGACATTTAGGTCAAATGCCTTGTTGGTGAGCTCTATATTAAAGTACATGTCCTCCTTTGGGCACTTAAACAGTGAAATAGTCTGTACATCAGTATCATTCAGCAAGAGACTGGATCCGTTGATCAATCGACCGAATATGACTTTGTATTGACCCAAGTTTTAATACCTTACATCAGCACATTGATAAAATGACCTAACTAGATGAGTGGTAAGCTAAGTGAAAATATTATCAGCTATGATGGAAATTTAAACATCAGATACGCAGGATAAAGGGAATAAAAATGAAGATTTTCGGTCGGTAAGACTCATGATTTAAAAATGGCCATAGAATGGATGCACCTGCTTTGGCATGATCGACCTCTTCCCCACATTTCACCCAATGTACTCTATTATAAATTAAAACTCTTATTAGTAATTTCCCACCTCCTGAATTGGCCCAGATCAACAATATAGGACTTCATAGACTGACATTATATCTTTGTTTGGCCTAATCATGGTATTTTCCCAACTTACTCCTCTGCCAGTCAGCGATCTATGTCAGGCTAAATGATAGTTGGGTAATGTAACACATATCTCAATTGCCTTAACCAACAAAGGTTTACAGCCTAGTCAGTTGGACTACCCATTTTACCTGGTACCCTGTGTCTAATCTTATCATTACTATTGACTATTAGGCAAAGTGTCATTCGCGCGACCCAGTGATAAGTGTATTACATTAGTTGTCAGGAAACTAATAAGTAACTTGTAGACCGAAAAAACACCTAATAAAAATTTCACTACTTACTTCATTAATTCTACCGTCAACTAGTTCAATAAGTAGTAAGTTATGTCCCATGAGTACCAAACACTACCTCAAATATTTCTCTCTCCCTCCATAAATATATACGTTGATAATAAATGCTACACATTTTCTTTCCTTGCCAGGTAATAACTCCAATGTCTAAAATGAAACCGGGCGATATTGGTCCCAAGTGTCGTTCTGAAGGTTTGTCTCAATTCACACTTTTTTAATCATATCTTTATCCAATTTATCAGTCAAGAAAGAAAAACCTAATGTGAAACAAAAGAATCCTGATGATATATGGGATATTGATGAAATACCAGAAGGTACACAGCATGAATATATATATGATCCGCGCCCTCAGCCCAAGTAGGTAAAAATCCTACCTATTTCATGTTAGATTACGGTCTTCTTTTCCCACTTTACTAATTTATGGAAAATTTCAACTATCTTAAGAATCACTACTAACAGTTATTATAATTCAAATGTTCACTGAGTATTTGATGGCATATCCAATAAACGGATTTCAACTGTAGAATCTTCGCCTGAACTTACCATTCAGTATGTTAGTACAGTTGTTTAAGTAACATCTTCAACCTATCATTACGATAAAAATTCTTGGCCTCTTGGATATTTATGTATGCCACTATATAAACATAAACTTGATATTGAGTCATTATCGAAAACAACAAAATATAACATTGATTATTATTCAACGGTTAATCATCAAACTGATATCTTTAGTAGCTCTGTGTCTGATTCCAGTTAGGTTGTATAATGATTGTTATAGAAATATACATGCCGCCAATCCTCGTACATTCTTATCAACTTATTTCACTTTGGAGAATAACGGAATAAAAATAAGTCAAATACGAGTGATCTGAACAGACAATCAGGGAAACGAAGCGAAGGAAGTGGAGTAGAGAGGGCGAAGGAAAACACAGTGACGTGTAGTGGAGAAAGCTAGTGAACCATCTCAATTTGATAAAGGGTGACCCAATATTTATATTCAGACAAAAGTAAATTACAGACACGTAATGAATAGAGCAAGCAATTAACACATATACGATCACATAAAAAGTAATCAACTTAATAAGCGAATGAGTGACAAGGTCAAAATTTGGCCTGAGGAGAATGAATTGGTTTGTTCAGAAGCTAAAACAACCTATATGGGCTTGACATGGTGCCAGCGCCTACAAAGTCCCTCCTCCGGTAGAAAATGAGAATAATAAAAATAACTAATTACCAAATAAGTCTATGTTAACTATCCCCACATATCAAACAAATTAAAATAAATAAGATGAATGTTACTGTATGTTCAATTATTTGAGTACACTTGATTTTATTTTAGTTGTATCTTCCAACTGTTATTTAGGACTGCAATTGGTCAGTCTTTTGTTGTCCTGGAGTGAACATCAACTCTGGGATGCAGGTACATCCAGCTGACGAGTCCCAAATAGGACTAAACGCGCGTCCTGGATTCCACTGCTAGCCACTATCCATCTTCGCTTAATTATTTAAAGTTATGAAGAAACATACATTCGGATCATTATAACCGGTGTGATTAAAATATCTCTCATCAAATTAATTAATGTTTTAAGAATAATTTAATTCATTTACTGAAGATACACATTTTTAAGGCCATAATACCCTCAAAATCTTTGTTAAACTATTCGTTTAAATTTTGACTATTATTCATATAAAGCACTTTTCTATGTGTTTGTTCATTTCATATACAGATATGAAATAGTGTATCAGCAAGCAGTAACAGCTGAAGATGTCTATTTACAACTTGGTAGAAAAAATCCAACGACAGCTTGCTGTGAATACATGATTGTAAGCAGAATCAAACTTCTAGTTGAAATTAAAACTATCATAATTTATGCTTAAAATATTTTTATAAAGAAACTGCATTCATTTGTATCTAAGGAAAATGTTTCAGTTTTAAAATTAAGCGACAAATAGGAAAATAGAAATCGGTTCATCATCTCAATCAAAAAGTTAATAATCTCCATAACCCTATATTGATAATGACCATATGCCCACAAATGACTAGCTTCATGAGGGAATTCTCGGAGTTCTAGTGAGAAGCCGTGACCAGAGGAGTTAATCCGTGTCGGATAGAGACAGGTATGTACCTCAGTACAATGGAAGATGGTCACGCAATTTCGTGGATTGGTTGAGGTTAGACATTAACACCGTTGGATGCCGGATCAGTGGTCTACAGATTAGGTGTTTGCGTGCGAGACCGAAGGCACTGGGCTCGAATTCCGCGAGCGAGTTCGTGAATACGCACTGCTGAGGAGTTCCACAACAGGACGAAGCGGCCTTCCAGTGCTTCCGGGTATTTAATGGTGGTCTAACATCAATCGGTTGATGATCTCAATCAAAAATATAGAAGTCGTTTAGAATCTTATATAAATATTATTTCCGTCCGAATTATTACATTCCTTGCCAGTATAATCAAAAAAATGTAACAGGATCAAATTCAATCTGGTAGTAGTGTGATGTGTGCTACTTATATTGACATAAGTAGTAGATGATATTAGTTGTGAACAGAATGTCTGGCAGCAGAGAGACAAGAAGATCGAACAGTAAAGAGTGGAAACGGAATGCAATTTGTATGAAAATGCAGGTCCTGTAGTATCGTGTATAATACTGAGAAGTACTGAGTACTAAAACTAAGAGTTAAAGCAACACAAAGAATGAATGGATCTGCGTTCACAAGGGGAAGTATACAGTTGATTTAACTCAGAGCTCTAAGAATAGCTATATCACAAACATGTATTGGCCAGGTATCGTTCATTGTTATGTCATTATAGACCATAAAACCAGTTATGAAAACTGATTGGTTTGCCCAGAAATATATAAAGAATTAAGCAACGATATTTCACTTGCAAAGTATGAAGTGGAAGTAACGAAACTGATTTGCTCAGACATTTCTTTTTATTACCAATGTTAAGGAAGATCGAAGGATGTAAAACAGTTAATCATTTACCATCGCTCTTCACTCACCGCATGCATCAGAAATTTTCTGTGACCAACAAGTCTAGTCGAAGTTAATAGTTGGTATTAAGTGAGAATAGGAAAAAGATGGTGTGTGGATGGACTGCTATCCCCCAGCAATAACAACGTTATATTCTACATTACAATAAAGCCAGATTCTTCTGATCCATCTTTTCATATTTTTTAGTTTCAATTTAGTGAAATTTCTTGCAAAATTTGTTTACTTACTTTCATAGCAAACCTTCTGGTATTCTTAGCCTAACTGAGTGATTTTGAGTATGTTATATTCTCTAAAACTCCGCCTGTAGCTCTTTTAGGGTTACTGTGGGTCCCAAGACTGGGTAAAGTAGAAGGGTTGGGCATAGGGTCAGCAACCCCATCTTGTAGAAAACAACCTTTCTAAGAAAATTCTAACCGGGATAAACAAATTCAAACCATTTAAACTCTGCCCTGGAAGTTGAAGTAAGAGTTATGACATCTCATGGTGAAAGCCGAGATTCTTCAGATGTCACTAGGCCTATTCCCCCTCAAACAACCAGAGCAATAATTAACTAAGGTACATGGAATGTTCGGACAGTGTGGGAAACTTTAAGGACCAATCAAATAGCTGCAGAAATGAGGAGATACAAATTAGAGGTGCTCGGAATAAATGAAACCGACTGGACCCAAGTTGAACTGAAAAGGATAGATTCGAGAGAGGTGTTTTTGTACCTTGGTCACAAAGAGGGAAGTGCTACACAGACCGTCACCAGAAACTATTCTATCACTACGTCCACCCACAATTCGGTTGACTTCATCTCTCAGTGACCTGAATTTTCGGGTTATAAAAGCTCTGTTGTATTGTTCGTGTTGTCTATAATATTTTGCCATTTTCGAATTCAAATCAATGTGTACATTTGAACATACGTATTTCTATAAGCTAAAATATATAATGATATTTAAAAGTTAACCGATTTCTGCACAGATGAAGGTGAAACAAATGACCACTTTGGTGTTTGTTGTAGCTGTTGCATTTCATTATATGGATGACATTCATCTTCTATATCTTTGACATTGTTTTCCTCTATTTTCATCATATAGAGTGGAAGAGGAATCTAAATCTTATATATATTTTTTGTTACTATAATCTTGTTAATCATAGTTTATAAATCATTTGAGATGCATTTTTATTTTCAACTAACGCAGAACTACATATTTACATTCAAGTCTTGATTCTTTTTCATCCCATAGGTCAAAGTAATACTTCCAGATACACGACTGTCTGACATTATTCTAGACGTCAAAGAAACATTTCTTGATCTGAGAGCACCTAAGTAGTAAGTCCTTAAGTAAAATATTTCGTTAAATATGGATTTGATACTTTAATTTAAATTCATATATTATTATATACTATGCTACATCAATTAACGCAATACTAAATTATTGTTCTTTTCTTTGTGATAATTATTTACTTTGTTCGTTTTTTACCAAGTTGGATGACGTGCTTTTTATCTCTTGGATACTAAGTAACAGAAATAATACACGTTCAATATCGGAATGGGGGATTGTCGAGATTGTAGTAATTTAATAGTTGAATTCATGAGTCGATTAAAGCTAGACCACCATGAAAAACCTGGAAGCACTGGACGGCCGTTCAATATACTAAATTTACCATTATTTATTCAAATAATGAGTTTGTAGTAAGACAATTTGAATAATTAATTATTTTGTGGGCTGGTAAAAATAACATCATCAGTATAAGAATAAGCACATTAGGGTTTATCTAAGAAAAATACCGTTTGACTAAGCAGACATCCAGAGTAAAGCCTTCACAAACCTCTGGTGCACGAACAGGTTAGGTTTGTTGATATGATTTCCTATGTCTTCTAGGATATGCAAAATGTGAATCCGAATGGCCCACTCCTCTTGTATAATTTCGCTAATTTTTTATATTCGATTCTTATACTTGTATAACTAGTCTTACTAGTTAACTGACCAACTGTTCCTTAAAATCGTTTTAACATTAATATGCTGTTGTTTCCAGTTGGTAACGTTCATTCCAACCATTTGTTAGTAAAATCACGAACCAACCTAAGTTAAACAACATTTGAAAATCAGGAAGCACTGTATAGCTGTTTTGTTCTAGCTGGAACTCCATAGCAGTGCGTAATCACGATAGGGATTTCTTATCTTAGAGTTATGTAAATAGTATTTGGTCAGTCGAATTGTCCATCAGGTTGTTTTTTTACAAGACAGTGAGATTTATCTTACATTACTGATTACAGATAAGATGTCTAGTTATCTTCGTTTCATCCTTAATAGTTGTATTAAGTTCACACCCATAATAACGTGAGCTTTTACCTTTTTAATCCCTTGTATAAGTTTGTACATAGAAGTTTGTGCAGTTAATATACTGCATCATTTCCATCAAATGGAACTTAATTCAGTCGGTAACATCAGTTGAAATGAAGGCAAATAGTGGGTAACTGATAGGTTTTTAATCGAGCTGTTTCAAGAAGACTGAAATATTTGAATATTTCATTTAATTCTGATCATACTTATTAGTTTCCTAATACATATTATCTTGGATTATATCTATCATATTTGGAATTATTAAGTACTTCTTATAACTGTGAATTAAGAGAATAAAACTCGAACACGCTTCCTGCTGATAATTTAAGTAACGTCCCACACTATTTTTTGTGAGTATTTATATTTGTTTTCATAATTTTCTCAATAACTATCATTATTTTGATAATGAGATATTTGATCCGGCGAGATCATCTAGTGAGCCATTACGTTAATTTTGTTTGTTATGCTATGATACTATACCCATAGTTAAATGTATTCTTTATCTATATAAACATTTTTTCGGCATGTTCGTATAATGTATGCACCTAATGATAATATTAACATTGAGTTGTAGTTCTATAAAAGTTTCCTCTGACTTACCTCGTATACCTCAACTCACAATAACCATGGTTAATGCCACAGATTACCTTAGTGTGAACATTTTACAAGCTACTGAAGAGGCAAAGACCAATGAAATGGCAATACTCCAACAGCATTTCTTTGACTTGTCTAATAAACTTGCAGCACTACAAGCAACTTTATACACTATACATATAAGATGTGCTAGATCATCTTCTAGGAAAATGCCATTTCCCAGACAATACTCTAGGTCACCTAAATCAATCCCAGGAGTCTATTGGTATCACCACAAGTACGGCACCAAGGCACAGCGATGCACAAGACCGTGCAAATGAACGTCGTACAGCTATGACAAACGGGGAAATGTGCCAGCCAGACTGTAATGGCGGTGACTGCTTTTGGCCAGCCGGCCAGCCGTCTCCCATATGTCAGGTTTAATATTTCTGGTACGGAATTTTTAGTAGACACTTAAGCAGAAATTAATATAGTTCCTCTGACATCCTCATGTCGGACTCACCAGATCATCTTGGCGGACCAAATATATCAATACCAAAATAATAATAGTTATTGGGAAAATTATAAAGACAATTGATAATATACACAAATATAAATGCTCACAAAGAAAAAGTGTGGTAGGTTACTTAAATTATGAGTAGGGAGCGTGTTCGAGTTTTGATCTCGTAGTCCACAATTATAAAAAGTAGTCAATAATTTCAAATAAGATAGATATAATCCAAGATAATATGTTTCCAGGATAATTACGTAATGGAAATATCTGTGTGATCTGTAAACATCTGTTATAGGTGAGAAAGAGAAGTGTGTGCACAACAGTGTATCTATGAGCAGACGTCTGTGTATCATGCGAACAGAGAAGAAAATGTTGACAGAAGTTTAAGATCAAATTTTAAACAACCACTTTATAGTCAATAATTGTAATTGTGCAAATTATGTGAAACTATGAACAATAACAAAAATTACTTACAAAATAAGTTATTGTTAACTATCTTCACAAGAACAAGCACTTAACATCAAGATTTTAGACCAAATATTATTTTAACTTCATAAATTATTGTTATTATTTTTTAAACACATAAACATAGGCACAAGAAGGCACCAAATATATATGCGCCACAAACCATACGATTTGTGTAAGGGCTAGGATAGTGCCCGGGTGTCCAAAATGAAACAGGCGGTTTTCATAGGGAGCCACACCCCGAATATTTGAACTAAAGGTCTAATCCACAAGGCAGTGGAGCAACTTTAGGAGATGCAGTCCCATGGTTGTCGGTGACCAAAGATTGGCTCATACGCCATTTGTTCTCTCAGGATCCTGAATCCCATATGAACCAATGGTTTGGAATCAGTGATTTCCAACTCCCCCAGGTAGATCCTCCGTATTCACCTAGCCGGTTAAAGCGCCGGACATTCGCTTTTTGTCCTCTCAATTTCGTAAACAACACACGCACCGTGAGAAGGCAGTGAACAGGACTTCCCTGGCAGTGGTTGAATGCACGTGGCCATGTGAGAGCATTTTGGGAAGGAATGTTGACTCCCCTAACTCTCAGTCGTACCAGGGCATGAACTTTTGAAAGTTATTTTTCCTTATCTGACTATCCAAGACAATAAAACGTTTTTTATAATAAAACATTATTTTATCTTTCTTTAGTAAGCTTTTATTATATCTACCAAATCCTGTTGAACCAGATTCAAGTAAAGCAGCTTGGAATGAAGATAAAGAAATATTAGAAATAACAATGAAAAATAAAAGAGAGTATGATTTTATAAATGAATAAATAAACGTTGTCCTATATTGATATGCTTACCTGCACTAACCAATTAACGTATTGTACAAGAAGTTCACAGTTATTTTGTTGTGAATATTTCAAATCAGAAAGAAGTTATGATGTACTGAAATAAAACTAAGTTTCTATCTCTTTTTCAAATATTTTTTAAGTAAATATCAAAAGACTATACTACTAACAACATCAGATTAAATGCATTGTTGTTCATGACACTAAAATGCTTGACTAAGTGAGGTTTTTTTATGACAAGTTAACTGGCAGAAAATATCTACCAGTCAAACATTTCAATATTTATTCTAACCTCCTGGTAGACTAACGTTACAGCCAGTTATATATCTTTGATATTATTTACAGTTGAATGGAAAATGAATCAGGTTTTTAGCCAGTTACAATTTCATTAAAAAAAAGATATGCTTGTATTTACACATCAAGAAAGACGAATTTATCAACTCTTATAACCTAAGTCAAGCTCAGACCAAATTACAACATAGTCCAATTCAGTTAGGGGGTCTAAAAGAGTGGTAATCTTTTATAAATCCACTTTACTGTTATTTCTCTCCAATGCTATATAGCTAGATCCATACGTACATAGCTAGATGAATAATAAAGTTACACCGATAATGACCACTAAATACTAGTACTGGCTAGAACTAGAACACGAAATGTATAGCGCAAATACATCACATTTTTCAGATCAGCTACGTCTTCTCCTTGTTCTATCGAAATTTCAAAAAAGTCAACTACAGTCCCAATCTCCATTTCAAGACTTATAAGTAGTTTATTCTAAATGCTAAATGTAATAAAATTTCACTTTGTATATGCTTCTTTATCATAATGATTGTACACTTAAAGTATTTTAAATTATTTATTTCCATTTGTAAAATATTTGTACAATTGAAAGTCGATTATTCGTGATGGCATGTAACAAATGCATCTGGAGTATCTTCAGTAGACAAATGTTTATAAATACATGTACCATTTTGATGATGGTTGTAGTAGTTCTCCAAGTTTCAGCTCAGCACAATAGAACAATCTTGACATGTGTATTGAAAATTCAGACATTTGTGTTATGTGGCAGTTGTTTCGATGTCCAAATATTCTTCACTTGTACCAACGGTACATTTGCCTTAACAGTTCACCTACTCACAACTATATCATATCCACCTTGTTTATCAGTGATCCTGACAAGTCGCGTAAATGATCACATCTCTTCCATAGCAGGACCATCAAACACAAATGGCTTGGTACTCACTGTATTGTATTTCAGCATCTCACCTCTTCTCTTACGAATGTCCGTGCATACTGTTATGGAACTCACTGCTACACTCGGTCTCTTCAGATACATTTGTTCCTATGTACGTGAATACCGAGTCATTTGCAAGGTGGCAAACATCATGTAACAGCCAATCTATCCAATGTTTTGTGTGCTTCTACTCACATTTCGGGGTCTTCATAATCCATTCGACAATCAGAACAAAGAGAAAAGTTGGCAGTAGACAGACTTGTCTCACACCGATCTTCACTTTGAATGGATTTGTGAGCTGCATGAGTTCTCACTGTAATCCATTGTGATCATGATGACGTATCATGATGACGACACTCTCAGATACTCTATCATGTTGAACAACAGTCCACAAACTCCTACCATCCACCCTAACAAACACTTTCTCATAGTCAACAATGTTCACATATAGTGATGAGTGTGCTACGATTGACGATCATTCAACAATGATCTTCAGTGTCATGATTTGGTCAGTCGACCGATCCTCACTAAATTTAGCTTTTTGTTCTTGAGTTAAACGTCTACTGAATCTATCATACGATTCAACAACACTATAGAAAACTTTAACATCTTGACAGTAATGTGGTGTCTCTGTATTTCCCACACTTGCTGAATTCTCCTTCGGTATCCTGATAAAGTATCCTTCTAATGGAGATTTGTAGCTCAGATGGTTAATTTAGGTGGAAACTTGTTCTCTAAACTGGATGGTTTGATAGTAGAGCTTTCATTTTCTTTCCAAAATTCACCAGCACAAACTTCACATAGAAGTGAGATGTTGTTCAGAAGACCAAAGTATGATCCGTGACAAAATCATCTAGCTCGGAGAATAAAACCCCACCTAAGGTATCCTTTTTCTAGTCTTTCGACATCTGTTATTGCCGCCAAATCTTTCTAAATAGTGTGTGGACTATTTCCGTATATACGTCTGTGTCTGACTTCAATGCTTCGTCTGGCATGTTGTCTGGTCTTACTTATGCTTTCCTAATATTCGTTTCACTTTTGGTTATTCTATCTTCTTCACTTGTTGGCAGGGTGATATTTGTAGAAACGTATGTGTGTTCTGTCTCGATGTCCATCATACTCACCAATGGTGGTCTGTTCAACAATTCATGAAAGTGTTCTACACACCTGTTGCACTCCTACATATCCCACATTACTGATTGTCTCTCCTCACAAGTTATCATAACAAGTTGCCTGGTCTTCTGGACTTTCCTGGGAGATCGTTATTTAAAACAAACGGTTCGTGCACACTTCTTCCAGTTCCAAATTGCACAAATACAGTTGTCAGATATTTTACATGTTTCCGTTTGTTAACTCCAATACTTTTCTTCACTCACTCATTTACTTCTGGGCGTTCAATCTGTGCTTGGGATTTCTCTACTCTGCCCTTATTCCACTGTTACTCAAAACTGTCTTCCTATTCTCTATTTATTTACTCACACACAGGTGATCTACAGAGATCCATCCTTCATTCTGGTCGGGCTCCATGTGACCCAGCACCTCCTAATTCGTTGGAGTCACTTCTGATTTACTTTCTTCCAACTTGTTATCCATAGCGGCTTACTCTTCTTCTGTGAGTAGATTTTGTTAGGCATGGAAACTGTTGTTGAACACAATATCGAGTTTTTTCAGTTTGTTAGACTGTCGATGAAACATCGTGTTAAATGTTTATAATGCAGTCTTTCTGCTTGTCCACTGCTTCTTCAGCTTCCGTTTTAGCTCAGCCGCCACCACATGGTGATTTGAAGTTACACCAGTTCCTTTCTTTATTCCTACTTCTTCAGAGACCTTCTGAACGCCTCATCAGTGTAAGTGTAGTTAATAGAGATCTGTGTAATGTGATTCGATGGGACCTATTTAGCTTTGTATATGAATTTACAGGAGAAAATGAATTTACCTCTAGCCATGTTGCTGAACCTATGTGGATTTTCAAATCTCTCACTGTTTTCGTCCCTTTCTCCAAGTCTACATCAACACATAGTGCGTTCATAACCGATGTTGTTCATTCCGATATTGGCATCTGGTCATCCTCTCAGGATGGTCATTTCGTTTCCTGAACATTTCTCGATGATGAATTGCAGTCTCTTATAAAACCGATCCTTATCATCTCTACTGCTATCGTTGGTGGGTATGTAGCACTGGATGATATTCATTGTAGCCTCTTTCTTATTTGATGTAAAGTATGCTTTGATAACACTGGATTTATGAGACTTATCCTAATGGTATATTTTATGTTCCTTCAATAGCACTAGTGCAAGCTCTTGTTTGTTGAAGAATCTTATTTTTCTTGAATAGAATATGGTTTTACATTTCATAAATTTACTTTTCTTCATTCGAATTGTGTTCAATGAGTTAAACTTATTCCAATCACGGTCAGGTTGTACCTTCTCATTTCTGCGGTTATTTGTGTGGTTTTCTCAATCTCCTATAATATACAGACATTTCATATACCTATATTTGTTGGTTTTTTTATATATGGAAAATCTGCATTGAGACTTCCAAAGTAGCTTGGCTTCCACTATGACATGTCGCTGCTCTTCTGTTTGAGAATCCTTCAAATCACAGAGTAGAGCTCTAGTTGTCTAAGTAATTGTTTTCTGGTTAGCGTTTTTAGCAAAGTTATTTTTATGGGATTAGGCTAACAAGCGCAGATCCAACCTTCCTCCTTTACCCGAGCTTGAAACCGGTATTCTGTTTGGAAAGACCTTACTCAAAGTTATTTTTGTGGACTAATCCTTTTTTATTTCTAGCTTTTAGAGAATATCAACTTCAGCGACGCAATATGCTGATTCAACTGGGACACTGTACAAACTCAAACAAAACTGTAATTGTACCAACTTATGAGTAGTTTACTCACAAACTTCTACTACAAGTATTATTAGTGGTCCTAGGAATTAAAAAATCAATGGTTAAAGATCTATTAATCTGTGAAGGAACGTCCAATAACTTTAACCTTCCCAACACAACACCTTATAAATGGGTTAATTATTCGTTTTCCAGATGCTCTAACATCAAATATTTTCCGGACCCAGAGCGACCACGCGATAGCAGTCAGAAGTTGAGATAAATGAAATGCATTAGACTTATCTAGTTTCAGGGACATTCTGGTTTGTTTGGATGAAGAGTTGTCCGAGTACTCAGGACTCGAGTTACAGAGTTAACCATCACCCTGGACAAAGAGCAATATCTGTCATGACACTGGAGAATACTCGAGATATCTCCAATATACATATGCTTAACCCAGTCTATCCATTTATAATCCATAAGTTAATGATGTTTAATAAAGTCGGAAGTTAGATACTGTCGGAAGTAACATCTGTCTAGCTCTAAGCTAAATATACGACAGACGGGTTAGTAATTGCAGCAAGCGATTTTATGACTGTATGCCATAGTCCATGAGGTAAAATAAAGTAGCCATGAACGAATGTCTATTAGGATCATTTAGAATTATTTGTGACCAAAACTTAAATACTCACTAGACATCGTTGGCCAGCTCTTGAAGAAGTAGGCAGAATCCAGTAGGCAACTGCGATGAAGCATATTATGGTGCTCTTTCATTAAATCATGCAGGGAATAACGATAGGCATTAAAGAGCTCTGAAACGCGTCCACTTTGTTCTAAAGAAAAACCGTAATGCCTACAAGTAACTGTGCCCCTCTGATAGTGACACAGAGGTACACGAAGAGCCTTGGGTTTTTCAAATGATCAG